ATCCCTGTTTTTGTATAGGATCTGTAATGCGATTTATCGGTCTACAGCTATCCGTGTCCTCGGAAGCACGGTGCAAGTGACATTTTTCTTTTTAATGTTGCAGGCACGAATTTAAACAATTTAGAGGTAGGCGATGAAATTCCATCATGAGATGCCTAAACCGCAGTCATGCGTACCATCAATCCTATCGTCATTGCTGCAGCCTATATATATATATATATATATATATATATATATATATATATATATATATATATATATATATAGAGCTTTATATTATTCTCAATTTCGTGTATAATATAGTATATGTCATATATGTGTAAGTATATTTGTTATTTATATATATTTATTCGTTTATATATGTAATTTTAGTATGTATGTGTATCAATAATTAGTAGTACCGCATTCGAGTATTCTGACACTTCCCTATGGTTGACTGAGTCCGCTATGTACACATATTTGTACTAATGATAAATAAATAAATAAATATTAATAACTAATTGGCTATAATAGAATTATTTTAATTTTTATCACTAAGTTTCAGAATTTGTTACAGCTTTAGCCACATTTTTTAATCTTTTAGTTTCGTTTGTAAGCTTGTCGAGTGTTCCGTTATGATTTTGTGTGTATTTGCATATAACTACACATCTAAAATAATTTAGAGCGTTCACTAAGCTTATGTTACTTTCGTCTATTAATTTAAAGTGATAATGAATTTTAAATGCTTCGCTTTGAAGCGACTGGTATTCGTTTAGTAGATTTACAACCTCTGGTCAAAAGAGATGGCCGAGAGTTTAATTATCATGTACAAATGTATAAAAATATTGTATTCATATACGGCTATTAATATTAATGAAATAAAATTGCATATCATTAAGCTATCGAATTATCAAAATACGTGCTCTGTCCCTAGCAACATAGGTTATGTTTTTTAAATTTAGAGATTATGTAAATATAAACGAAAGTAAAATATAGGCTCTTGCAGCCGATTTTTATTAAGTGATCAATGATTGAGGAAAATATATGGTGTTATTTTAATGAAGTCCAAATTGTAATTTGCCCGTGGCCTTATCGTGATGTTGAATAGCTTATAACATTCTTTAAGAAATGAACTATCGAATAATAAAAAAAAAATTCGAATCCGACGTGTATTTCTAGAGATTGGCGTTGTCTGAAATGAACAAACGAACTCGACCGCTTTATTATATAGTAGGCATAGATTAACATACATTAATATACATTCATAAATGTTAACTGAAACTGTTATTTATTTATTTAACTCTTTATTGTATCTAAAATATAAAAATATAGTGTCAATTGAGCAAATCAAGTGAAATAAAGTAATATAAAAGATATATTAAGAATGCTTAAATAACATTCTTTTTTAATTTAATATTATCTAATCCAGAGTACAAGTCGTATGGAATTAATGCTTTTATAATAAATCCAAAAGGTTTTTTGTTGCTTTCGAGTCCGATTTGTCTGGCGTTAACATGATATATCAAGTTAGCGAATAAACCTAATATTGTAGTGTGCTCCAGTCATTTTAGCGACATATACTCGTAAGTGTAGTCTGCATTCAGACTTTTTGGGCAGACTTACACGGAATAAATTTAGATTGAATTACGTTGGAAGACACCTGTCCCGCGGTTAAATACTTGTTCTGGATCCTGAAGTGCATACTCTTTAAATTGAATTGATTCTTTAAATTGAATTTCTGAATTCTTCAAATTCGATTCTCATTTCCATTAAAAAATATTTCGTGTTTCTTCTCTTATATTATTGAACTTTTTAATTTTTTTTTATACGACTTACTCGTAGAATGGCAAACAAGCTGACGGCCCTCCTGATGGAAAGTGGTAACCGTCGCCTGTAGACATGAGCAGTACCATGGACATAACAGAGCATATTGTTTCGCCCATGATACCCGTCATACGTTGCCATTCCTGAGGACTCGGGTGTTATTTCTCTGTACCCAGTAAATTCACTACCATGCCCCACCTATTATTACTACAATAATTTGACTGAAGAAACCTTTTGGCACTGCTAGATAAAAAAAAATAGGCAGCTAAAAGATTAGAGTTTATTAGAAATCTTCCTATTTTGTTTACGTATTATTTATATAGTAATAGTAGCGATATGTTCACCTTGACTCATAAACAAATTATCTTTATTATTAGTGCGATAAGATAATGTTTGTATTCGATTGACGCACTTTCTTTCGATTTAGTTATGATTTCAATTGAAATTCAAATATTTGCACTGTAAGGTATATACGAAACACTCTCTTCGCGTATTGGTGTGAGCGTGTGTTAATTAATCACATGATTTAAGTCGTTTTTTATATAATTACCCAAAATAAAAAAATTAAAATTATTTGTAAAATGTTCATATATTCATGTATTATTATTAATTATTTTTTATTGCACAATAAAACTTTGTACAAGTGGCGAGCTTAATACCATATGGCATTCTTTACCAACTAACCATTGGGTAAAAACAGAAAGCGTATGAAAAATATGTTACATAATTATTGTAACATATTAAAATAATTATACATAATTTAATATATAACTATGGCTATTTTGTAGCTAGGGCTGGCTTTGTTGACTCAACAAATAATTGAAAAGTCTTCTGTATGTATTAAAATTTCTATATTCCGTCACATCATCTAAATGCTTGAACAGATTTTCATTCTTATATTAACCAAAAAGAGCAGTTAAAAAAAAAACAGTGGCGGCTGTGTGCGCCATTTTTAAATGGAAAAAAATTGTAGTCGTGCTTTTTTAATTTTTTTTTTATTGTAAAAACTTAATAAATAAATATATAAAACTTGATTTTGGACCTAAAAATTACTTGTTTTGCTAATTACGAGTATACATATCTTTCTCTATCCTGTACCCATTTTAATTAATTAAATTATTCAAAAAACATTTCAATGTTTGCTGCCTCTGTATGAGTCAATTATCTACCGCGGGTCCCAGACGTTACTAATATTCTCGTTAACTTCAATTAAAGACGTTTGTTGCATTACGTAGTCCGCCATAATTGTACAGTCGACTACATCGATATGAGTATATATTTTACAATCTCTTCACATTATCTATGTTCAATATTCTGAGATTATTGACATAATTCAATTACTTTGATACAGTCAACTACATTCACATGTGTATATATTTTACAATCTCTACACATTGTCTGTGCTTAACATTGTTCTATTCTAAGATTATTAATTTTAAAAAATATTTTCCATTTTGTCTGACCAAACACTTTTTTTATTAGTTAGGTAACTTGTATTTTATGTACAAAATATTTATTCTCGTTCTTTTTCATGTACCTATGCCCCTAAAGAATGATTTAGTATTCGGTTCAGGTTTTCATTATACGCTATCTAAAACCCATTAGTATCTATAATTTCGTTTACAAAATAATCCATGACATACGGACGGACGGATACACGCCACAGTGACAACAATATACAGCTATACAATCACGTCCTTGACATGGTTAATATATTAATAGTGTCATTAGAAAAGTCTTTTTCCTCTTTCATATAGTTAATAAAATATTATAAATTGTTGTAATATCCAGACATAATAATAAACGATTGAATCACTCTTATTACACACTTGCATTGGCTACTGTTAGTCATCCACTCGTGTAACATGTGATGCACATTATCGTTTGTATATGAATTAGTTGATTACATGACGTTGTTAAGACAATATGAGCGTTCCAAAAAAAAAACGACTCAATTATGACGAAACCATTTGTTTTCATTGAAAATTTAAACTACTGAATCGATTGTGATAAAATTTCTGTGACCAATCTGTAAGTTTATCCTTTCAAATAAAAAATGATTTTTTCAAATCGGTCTCGAACTAATGGAGTTATGAGGTAACAAACATAAAAAAATACAATCGAATTGAAAACCTGCTTCTTTTTAAAGTTGGTTGATAATTGCAGTTTTCTAAACGGACTTGACACGTGTATATTTTCAATCGTTCCGCAAAAAGAAACTTCCTTCAAACATGAACAAACGAACGTAATTTCGCACACACCGATAAACGATTAGAATTTATCTTGACACGTTACATTGCAATATATATTTGAATTTAGAACTCGGTGTCACGTGTCAACAAGTAGTCATACAAGTGGATTTTGCTTTCCGATACGCAGAAGAAAAACGGCAGAAAAAAAAATACATTTTGGTAATTGATAAGTACCACACAATCGAGTATATAAACATTAATAATTGAGGACATGAATGGATGTGTCGCATTTTTGAATGTTCACTATTCTATGCATGGATGGTCCCGTACCATGTGATCTCTTCATAGAATGGGCCGCCTCTTGCTTTCCCGTGGGTGTCGTAAGAAGCGACTAAGGGAGCATAACGGTTGAAAGATAAACAGCAACGTCCCTCTTAAAACATCGTGAAAAGCTTAACTGTAGTTGCTTACCCGCTTGTCCGTGGCTAACCTAACCCTTTAACCTGGGGAGAATGGGATTGTTAGTAATGGAGACTGAGAATCCTATTGCTAGCAATATACCCAACCAGGTCGACCTCCTCGCGGTTCCCCATGGAAACTATCATGGTTAATTCCTGATGAATTCACCATGATGGGCTAACTGGCCTGTATTCATTCTCATCTATCACTCTTCACTGGTGCTCCGCCAGCGTATCCCGTTAGCGCAAGCGGGGTCACCATACCATTTCACCCACCAAAAAAAACCCTTTAACCTTCTTTTCCCGTAGGTTTCGTAAGAGGCGACTAAGGAAGGGCTAGGAATGGGCAGCAGCGTCCCTCTTATAAAACGTCTCCAAAGCCTAACTGTTGCCAGTACGTCCGCCAAGCATGGCAACCACTGGTAAAACCCCCCAAGGGGGTAACTTATGTTCAGCAGTGGACGGTTAAAGGCTGATATGATGATGAATGTGCTTAGTACTGTGCCATGGAATTTTTTATATAATAATATGGTTTTTTTTTTTCTAGGTCATAGTAGAGTCACACAAAGAGCTAAGATGTCCGGAATGCAGAATTCTGGTCGAGGTGAAGGTGGAGGAGCTGCCGCCGAACGTGCTCCTCATGAGAATACTCGAGGGCATGAAGAACGCACCGAGGAAGGCCAGCGTCCCCAGCCAGAGAACGCAAAGAGCTGGACATTTGCAGGTAAAATTTTCACTTTAATACTAGAAGTGACAAAAGCATTCAAGCTGACTGCCCACCCAATGGTAGTTTCAGTCCAGTAATTTCACTGCCATATCGAAATACAGCCGTCTGAACGTAGTTATTGGTGGTAAATGATTGAGTGACGCAGTGGCAAATGCAGGCAAGTATGCAATATATCCTTCTAGTATTCTGTAAGGCTAGAGATTGTTTCCATTATGTTTTATTCAGCCGTCAAGCAGTGGTGTTTCAATACACATATGTTTACGTAAGAGGAGTATCAGTACTACGGACGTCACAGTGTATTCTGTGACGTCCTTAGTACTGATAACGTCTGTAGGCGACAGTTATCACCTCTCATCATGTAGGTCGTAAGCTTATACCAAGTCGTATGAAAATAGTTCCTACTCTTTGCCTAAATTATATAAACCTTTTAACATATTTCAATATATATTTTTTTATTCATATCAAAATGTTTTTCATATGATTTCAGGCTCAAATGCACCAAAGTGGTCAGATCAGTCGCGCTGACGGCAAGCAGCTCCCCCCACACGGCCGTGCCATGTACGATTTTATATCCAAGGAACCAGGGTATGTATTGCATTGGCACGCTATTTACTGTTTTTTTTTTTTAATGGATGATTAATGGAATGGTAACCCCGCCTGCGCTATCGGTATACGCTGGCGGGGCACAAGGGGCAAAGGCAGGTCAGTCAGCCCATCGTGATGAATACACATGGAACTCAGCACGATGGTTTCCAGGGGGAACCACGTGGAGGTCGACCTGACAGGGTATATTGCTAGCAATGGGACTGGTAGCCCGCATTACTAACGATTCCTTCCCCTCGCTCTTTACTGTTAGGATTATGCATAATTGTTTTTTATTATTTATTGCTGTATTTCGAACCTTGTTTGCAACTATATGTAATAGTTAATTGTGCAAACTGTATTGGTTAATCATTATTTATTATATTATATTTTATCTGTTAATTGTACTCTTTGTTTCCCAAATAAGAATAAAATAAAAATAAAATAATCAATAAAAATTAATTATGTTCCTATTACAGTTACACCAAACAGCATTTTCTCGAGTATGATAAATTTAATAATAAATACATGGAGGCTATATCCACCAGGTTATAGTATTACCGCCATCTAGTAAACCGCCATATAACCTATGCATAGTTGTTATGGGTACTAGATACTTAATTACTTAATTTTTTTATAAATACTTACACTATTAATAAATGAAAAACAATCAGATTCATACAAACTTTGTACAATAATACAAGTCGTTTGTGAATGCAAATGTTTGTATTGTATGGGAATCGAACCCGCGTATATTGAAGGTAGTGGCTTAAATCGCTGCACCATCGAGGTCGTCAATAAAGAGTTACCACATTATATACATTTCTATTATATAGATAGTCTCCATACAAATGTTTCGAGAAAAACGTGTCAACTTTTTCATACAATTTTACGTGATCATGAATCATGAGTGATTCCTTTATAACTTCTATATTTATTTTGTCTTATGTTGACCCGTTTTTGAGACTCGATGCTCCTTCTATATAATGTAAGTATATACCATACCATTCCCGTATGGTCCTGATATAGAATAGGTCACCACTTCCTTTCCTGTAGGTGTCATAAGAGGCGACTAAGGAAACTTATGGTAGAGGGATGGGCAGCATTGTCCCACTTTAAATATCACAAAACTACTATTACCAATCCCCTTGACAAGCTTGGCAGCTATTGGCAACCCCAATGTTGCCCCACTCTCCCCCATAGGGGTGGCCTATATTCAATAATGGACAGTAGATGACAGATATGATAATGAGGATGAAACCATGTCATATATATTACCACACCATAGCTTTGAACATGCTTTATTTTGGAAAATCTTTTTACGGTTACAGTGACCTTTCCTTCAAGAAGGGGGAGACAATACTACTACAGAAGAAATTAGACGCCTTCTGGTACCAGGGCGAAACGTCCGGCAGGACTGGCATGTTCCCCATAACTTATGTGCAGGTAAGGTCACTCTACTTTTTACCTAGTGCTCAGAATTTTGCCGTTGCGGGCAAAAATAATATTTATAGTGCTGAATTCCAGGTGTGTATAACCTGGAATTCAGCACGCTGGTTTCCAGGGGGACCATGTGGAGGTCATCCTTATTTGGTAGCAGTGAGACTGGTAGTTCACATTACTAACAATTCCTTCCTCCCTGGCAAACATATTGTTGGCCTGTGCGATAGGAAGACAATTGTAGAGATCTAAGTGAGAATGTAAGAATGAATGAACTTATATCTCTGGTCGTCAGAGACATTAGTCGACTGTTGTCGGCTTTATTTATTAGGTATATATTTTACCGAGTATATTACAATCCAATCGCCGTGTGGTCCTGCCATAGAATGAACCACCAATGTCGTATTAGCATCAATGGTCGAGAGATGGGCAGCAGCGTCCCACTTAAAACATGACCAAAGCCTTGCTTCGGTTGCCAATTCGCCCGTCAAGCCTGGCGACTGATAAAAACCCTAATGGAGGAAGCCTATGTTCAGCAATAGACAGTTAGGTGTTGATATAATTATCATATCTTCATGATAATCCAACAGCTTATACAGGATGTTATATTTATTATATAAATTCTAATTTCAGGTCGTAATACCACTGCCCGTTCCAACAGCGTTATGCAAAGCGCTATACGACTTTCGCATGTCCGCTCCTGATGAGGAAGGCTGTTTGGCCTTCGATAAAGGTTTGTACTGAGTCCAAAATAATCATAAACTAAATAAAGAATGGAGCAAGCAAAGCAGGCTCCTTTTCCACTAGCACTGAGTCTGCTCAACGGTGTCATGAGCCAGTATCTGCAATGAAATTATTTTAAATATATTTAAATTGTATAACAATAATAGAAATAAGATCTATATGTTAAATCTCTGAACATAAATACTCTGTGGTCATCCGACGAAACTCCAGCAAGTTGGAGGCAAACACGTCTAATTGCGGATACCGGCTCAAAACATCATTCAGTTGTTTCAATGCAACAGAGAGAGGCCGACTAAGGGCGAAGGATGGGTAGCAGCGTCCCTCTTAAAACATCACTAAAGTCTGAATAAGGTTACCAATCCGTCTGCCAAGTGTAGGAACTACTGGTAAAATCCCCCAAGTCTTATGTTCAGCAGTGGACAGTTAAAGGCCGATATGATATGAAGAGAGAGGGGAGCTTGCAAATAAGTCTATACTTATAATAAATCTGTAGAGAGATCAATTCTGTACATGAAATATATTCCCAAAATAACTATCAGGGGGTGATTAGTGATCGATTCTGATGTCAAAAATGCAATCAGTAATTTTTTTGTCTGTCTGTCTGTATGTTCGTTATAGAAACAAAAACTACTCGACGGATTTTAACGAAACTTGGTACAATTATTCTTCATACTCCTGGGCAAGTTATAGTATACTTTTCATAACGCTACGATCAATAGGAGCAGAGCAGTGAAGGGAAATGTTAAAAATGTCCACCCGAGCGACGCCGGGACGGGCCGCTAGTAATATATAAACACAACGATAAGCATTACGAGATGTAGCATTTTAGAATCCAACATGGCAAAGGTCTGTTACCGTCACTAGAATAGGTTTGGTTCTTAAATGTGTTCTCCCTCACCGGAGAGTTAGTCGAAGACTGAAAATGGTACCTGACGTTCGACATTTTAATTGCAGGTGCAATAATAACGGTGCATCGTCGCGTAGACGAGAACTGGGCTGAGGGCAAGTTGGATCAACGAGTCGGCATATTCCCTATAGCATTCGTAGAACTGAATCAAGCTGCTAGACAGTTGATGAACAGGTAATATTTATAATTATATACTTATAATACATAGGTTATATGGATACCGATCCGATATCTATATATTGGGTTCCTGTGGATATTGATAGCGGAAAAAATGTTTATCACCTATTTCAATATCATCTATATTGGTCAGATATCTATTTTCGAATGTGTTAAAAGTATGCTATTCAATATTATTTTTTAGATAACTTTTTAGATATTCGTTAATGGACCAGTATATAGATATTATTAAAATATATAGATTAGATATTGCTCTATGTTGCTCTACTTGTAATATTTAACGTCCATCCCATCCCATGCCTTTAACTCCATACCTGTACTTTGCAAACCTATATATTCTTTATTGCACTTGTGAATTACATTGTTAATGCATTTATAAATACACCTATCCCCCGATTTACACGGTAGATACGTTCCTGAGAAAAACGTGTAAATCGAAAATTCAAAATTTTCAAGTGAAAACCGTGTAAATCGAAAAGCTTGCAGAAAATGCATAATTTTGCTATTTAACAGTTGTGATTTTTTTCAATATTTTTAGGTGTACACAGAAATAAAAATAAAATGCATTGACAGGTTAAAATATGTAATATATTACGGAAACACTGTTTTTTTATTTAATTACAATACATTAAACTAAAAAATTAAATCTTTCTGACACTGTGAAACTTTCACTCAAATACAATTTTCCGTAGATAACTTTAATTTTATGCGAAGAAATACAGATACAGTGTGCATGTGCAGCAAGTCAGCACATAAGCTCGGGATTCCCCGTGAGATGTGTACACAGCGCACGTGTTCAAACACAGTAGCATTTAGTAGAGTGCGATAGAAACAAAAAAAAACTTATTTGGAAAACCGTGTAAAAGCGGCAACGTGTAAAACAAGTGCCGTGTAAATCGGGGGATAGGTGTATTGTGAGCAAGGGTGGCCTTATCTCTGACAGAGATCTCTTCCAGTCAACCCAATGCATTTAGAAAACATGTTGTTAGCCGGTAGCTGAACTAACTATTAATATTTAGAGTACGTAAACAAATATACAGTTAAATAAAATATTACATAAATACATATACTATAATTAAATCTAATACCTACCTACTTATACAATGGATGTTAAAATAAATGAATATACTACCTACAATAGAAATTTAGTTGAATGATTTTAAGGTTTAACAGTTACACCCTTTGCAACTAGAGTCTTAGGGGGAAATGGATAGTAGTAGTAGTAGTGAAGTAGTACTGTAGTAGTCCTGAAGCTTGTAATACTGAAAGCAACATCCATTACTTGCTAACTCTTGTGATATGAAGCTCTTGAGTCACATATCCAATAACTGCCCTGCCGTTTTACACATACAAAGATTTTTATCTATATTTGTTTATATTTGCAGTATTTTTACGTGGAAATGTTAATAAAAATTAAAAATATTGTATTGCAGCACACCATTAAACCGTCCCGTACCACCGCTGCCAGAACACGCGAGAGCTGGTCACTCGGACCATCGGCATCACGCGCAGGTATATTTTCTTTTTAATCTAATCTTGAGACTACAAGAGCTTACAGCATGGGGTTCTTCAAAAGGGAGGTAAAAAGGTTTCTTCAGCAGGTCAGCAACGCGCGCGTAATACCTCTGCTATTGCAGGCGTTCATAGGGTAATATGGTATCCGCTTACCATCAGGTGGACCGTATACTTGTTTGCCAGCTCTTTGAATTGTAGTATTTTTTTTTAAGAGACACATTTTTATTTATTTGAAACTACAGTAAAAATCATAAAAACATGACAATTTAAAATTTTATGTAAGCCTATTTAAATGAAATTTATTTTATAATTAAATTTAGAAAATGCCTGTTCTGTTCTTACTTTTTATTTGATCAAGTGATTGAACTAATGTACGTTATTTGGAGTTCCCGAATGTCTTTAACGTAACTGTATCTTATTGCAATAATAAAAAAAATATTAAAACGCCCTTTTATTTTGTTACAGCACTCTCATCGCTATCAACAAATGTCAATGTCTACCCCGTTAACTGGACAGGGAAATTATCAGAATATGGCGACCATGAGTCAGTCCCACCCTAACTTTGGTCAGCCCATACCACAATCACAAATCCTGATCCCTCAGCCTATGAACCAACACGTTACTGTCTCGCATGGTGGCCTGGTCACGACTACTGCGGTACCAAGGAATATAGTGGAGCCCACCCAAACCAAGCACTCACTGGACTTAATCCACTTTAACAATATGCATATAAAAAATCAAGGCACGATGGGCTTACAAAGCGTGTCGCGGATACCAGAGAATTACGACAGGTTAAGAGTCAAATACGACAGTTATAACTCCACCCCCGTGCATAAAATGGAGACGACATACCAAAATGTCCGGACCCACGAACACTTTCCGGTGTCAGTGGCTAACTTCAATGCGAACAACCTCAGTTCGGACTCGAGTTCTAGTATGAACACGCCGTCCGTCGGGGTCAGTTCCACCACAACACCCAACACTAGTTCGTGCGAGAGCGCCGAACCAAGCCTGCCTAGTTCACCCGACAACACCGAGAGGAACCCCACTGTAGTTGCTTCCAGTCAAGAGGAAACCAACGAGCAGGAATCTTTAAACACTTCCATGGGAGTGCTCAGCTTGAACGAGAGCTCCACAGCTACTAACACATCACTAAACGTTACCCTACCGTCAGAGAGTCCGAAATTGAATGTGTCTGTCGCGAGTGGCTCCTCCCAAAACCAAAGCGACAGCCAGGAGACTGCGGTCAATAATGAACCTACGAGACTTGAGACCCCGTCGTCCTCTAAAAACGTCTTGCGATCGAGCGGTCCGGATTCGTTGTTGACTTTTGGGTTGGGTCTCCAGGCGGCGTTATCACCCTCACACGGAAAGGACGGGAGTTACATGGTGTCTAGAAGTCACAGGGATCATCATCACAATAGAGATAAGAGACACAGTCTGACACCGTCCTCACATTTACAGGGAAATCACACGCAAAACCGGTTAGTAGATATTCTTGTTAATTATTTTTATTTATAATAATAATAAAAATAGAAGGTTCTTGAATGGTGACCTCTTACGGGCAAATATAGTGTAGGATGACCCCCATTAGATGTAGTGACAACCTCAAATGCATTGCAGGGAGTCAGTGGATGCAGGTGGCTCGGGACTGTTCCTTTTGCCAGTCTATGGAGGAGGCTTATGTTAACGGCTGAAAATAATAATAATTAAATAGGTCTATCCATTATGATGTTCCATAATACTTGACTTTATTTATAAAGTTGTTACAACCAGTCCTTGTTGCATTTTAATATTATGCACATTTTTACATCCAAAGCATTAATAATTTCTTGTCAGGTGCTTTGATTACTAAAGTATTAAAAATTAATCCATATATTTTGTAGATTAAGAAAATATAATTAAAAATACTATTATTACCTTTACATTATATAAAACAGAATCTTTATGAATAGGTACGATGAACATGAAATATATTCATAATCATAAAACATTTTCGTTGCCTAAACCTACCCTCACGTTACTTGGCGTTGGTGTTACAAAGTAGATACATTTCATTTCATTTTGTACTGTCTATTTTGATGTAAAAAAACTAACTATGCTAGGTGGCTATTGTCAGTTGTTTGTTTTACAGAATAATTAGTGTACATTTTTTATATTTTTCTGGTCTGATCTTAAGATTTAATATACTCTAGTTGTTAAGCCATCACATTTTGTAAGATCTATGTGTATACTTGAATCTTGCTATATGTATCGAAACAGAATAAAATATTGTTATTATTAGGCTCTTAGTTATTAAGTGTCCTAATGATAATGTATTTGTTTGTATTCTTTTTTGGCCTATTTATATTATCATGACTGATATTTGTTAACAGACACTCAGCTGAAATCCTAGCTACTAGTTTATTGGACCACGCACCGGAGAGAGAACGAGCCAGGCCAGAGCGAGAGCGTGATAGAACCGACAGAGAGCGAGATAGGTCCGAGAGAGAGCGAGACAGATCCGAGAGAGAGCGGGACAGGCCCGAGAGAGAGCGAGAGCGACGTCGGCGCCGCTCGCGTAGTGACGAGCGACCGCTGCCATCTCCATACATCGCTCTATACCCTTACAAGCCACAAAAGCCGGACGAACTCGAGTTGAAGAAAGGAGGTTAGTTCAATTCTAATATATTTTTTTTCTTAGATTATATAGTGCCTCCATACAAATACTCTGAAAAAAGCTTGTCAATTTTTTCATACAATTTTATGTGATATAAATAGTTACGAGTGATTCCTTTATAACTTCTATATTTATTTGGTCTTCTCAATTCTTTTAATTTATGCATCTCTTCAATGCGCAAAAAATAATTTTATTAATGAAATAATTAAATATTGATACTTCAAAATATATTGTGAGCGTAAATATATAGAACATTATTTTTTTAAAAAAGTCAGCTAATTTGACAATTAGCTGATAAAAAGTTGACGCGTTTTGAGGCTCGATACTCTATCTATATAATCTAAGGTTTTTTTTTTATACTAACATGTCTTTTTAGACAAGTGGCTAGTAAATTGATCCATGGAATCGACATCGCTAGCGAGTGTATGAGAAAGAATGAGATAGCAACGTCGTCTCACATTCTAAATCATGGGCTCACTTTCGATAACGATTCCATCGATAGATTCGCTTGCCACTTATCTAAGGGGGACGATGGGAAATAACATACAGTCTGTCTGGCGATAATAGGTTATCATATTTGAAGTAAACTTGTTATTACGCATCTGTATTGTTGTCCTTTTATGGTCAGAAAGTTTAAATATAGAAATACTTTCAAGAAATGTTTAAGAAATATATATAGCACCGATTTTCAATTAATCACAGAATAATACAAAAATACAAAATAAGATATACATACGCATATTACACACACAGACACACATATTCCGAACCTTGCAGTAGATTAAAAAATAAGATTTAAAAGTGTTTGTAAACAAGCGTATTTGAATAAAGACTATTTGAATTTAATTTGTTTTGTATTATATATAATATATTGCAAATTTTGAACAGAAAGATTTGCATATATAAAGTGCCTTGAAAAACACATGGTGGAAGACCGCCACTCGTCCAGATGATTGGGATGAAACTTTAGTTTGTAGCGGGTTGTACGGTGGTGAAAATCAGCAGCAGGTATCACTCTGAACAATTCCTCAGAACACTCCACATGATAAATTCGGTAGAAGATGCACAGAGATGCAACATCTCTGCGCAGTTTCAGTGGGTCAGTCGGACAGTAAGGCGTTGACTATCAATAATTCGAGCTTATTCCGACTTTGAACGCGGTCTAACGGAAGGAGTTGGTACTGTGGCGCTCCTGCCCATAGGTGAGAACAGTATTCCATATGCGGCCTGATTTGGGCTTTATATGATTTCAGGCGGTGTTCTGGCATGAAATACCGTTTCACCCTATTGAGCACTCCTAACCTATATATATTTATACCTATTAATGACCACTGGTCTGGTCCAGCGGTGTACATGGTGACGGAGCGGTGCCGCGACGGCTGGTACAAGGGCATGTCGGAGAGGTCGCAGCGCGCCGGCGTCTTCCCCGGCAACTACGTGGCGCCCGCGCCGCCGCCCGCGCCCGCCGCCGCGCCCGCGCCCGCGCCCGCTGTCGCGACCACGCCCGCGCCCGCGCCCGCTGTCGCTCCCGCTTCCGCCGCTGCCTCGAACCCCGCCCGCTCCAAGCACGATAAGGTCAGTGTTTTCAAGTATATGGGGAACTTACCGTTGGTTGTTTGTCGATATTAAATGGTGTTTTATACAATGCTAGTTTTTGTTATCGACTTTGTCCGCATTATTGCGATATATTAATTGATCAGAACATTATGTATTTTTTCATAATGTACAAGTACATATAATAAGTAATATTACCAGAGGGAGACTTTGTACAAAAGTCGATTGCTTGGGTACCTCTATCCTATTCGTGTTTCAACCGTGAAGCAGTTGTGTTTGCATGGCTGTGTTTCGGTTTGAAGGGTGGGATATGGCGTGAGTTTATTGGGTACAGAGGAATAACACCTGTGTCCTCAGGAATGGCAATGCATGGGGGGTATCAGTAGGCGAAACAGTATACTCTGTTATGTCCATGGTACTGCTCATGTCTATAGGCGACAGTTACCACTTTCCATCAGGTGGGCCGTCAGCATGTTTGCCATTCTAAATTGTATATAAATAAAAAAAGGAACATATGACCTGTATGTCAAATTTCATAACTGAATAATCATTAAATTTGCTTCAATAGCCATTAAAGTGTCAGAAGATGAAAGAGAAACTTACAAAAGTAAATTAAATAAAAATATGGCTTTGCTGTAAGTTTTATGAGATTCATGTAAAATTAATAAAACTGTACTGTAGAATAAACATAACCCTCCCCTTGGTGGGTTTTGCTAGTAGTTGCGTGGGATTGGCAACCGATGTAGCTTTGGAGATGTAGCTTTGGGACGCTGCTGCCTATCCCTCGCCTTCCCTTACTCGCCTCCTACGACATTCACGGGAAAAGTTGTGGTGGCCTATTCTATGCCGGGACCACACGGCTGTTAATTAATTAATAATTCCTAATAAATACGACATTCAAGAAAAGAATTTATAAGTTTCTAAAAGGCAACGCATTGGCGGCGTCCCTGGTGTCATCAGTGCCCATTGGTGGTCACTTACCATCAGGCGAACCGTACGCTCGTTTGTCGCCCTTTTACATAGAAAAAAAAATAAGTGAATAACATATGTATGAATCTCGTAACATACAGGCAAATCAATGCACTTATAAAAATTCATGTGTATTTTGTGTGTGTGTGTGTGTACATAACTTGGAGTACATATAAACTAGAGATGAAACGGATAGCAGTTTGGCCGGATACCGGATACTCGGTCAACCATGTGGCCGAATAGTCGGATATCCGGCCGAATAGTAGTTATCCGGTATACGGCCGGATAGTATTAAGGCCGCCGGATAAGCCAGACACCGGATAGTTTTTTTTTTGATTAGTGAAAATGGTATGGTAACCCCGCCTGCGCTAACGCGATACGTTGGCGGAGCACCAGTGAAGGGTGATAGATTAGAATGAAAACAGACCAGTTAGCCCAGCATGATGAATTCATCAGGAATTAACCATGATAGTTTCCAGGGAGAACCGCGAGGAGGTCGACCTGGTTGGGTATATTGCAAGCAATAGGATTCTCAGTCTCCATTACTAACAATCCCTTTCCCCCCGACACCGGATAGTTACCGGATATCCGTTTCATCTCTAATATAAACGCAGTGTGTGACAATACAAAACACGATCTCTTTCACCATTCATTGTTCGTCACGTTCGCATCTCGTTTTCCATTGGTACCGTTCGTTTGTCCTTCATCGCTTTATTATAACACATTTATCATTAGATCTTAAACTATATAAAATAAGTCATTAGAATTAAATTCCTTCGTATATTTTATATCATACTAACTTTTACACGAGACTTTATCTGCGTAATCAAGATATGTTTACTGACCGCGATAAAACATAATCTAATTCCTTCTCCATCATTTATAGTGTATTTATACCAAATTTAATAGTGATCGGTTAAGCCGTTAGATGCTATAAGGCAGGGGTTCCTAAACTTATTTTGTCTACTGTCCAGTTTGAGAATAAATTATTTTAGCGCCCCCATTGATAGGTGAAAAACCTACTTAAAAACCACTATTACTTCAAAATAAATTAATCAATTATTGTGAGCAATATTAGCGAAGATTAAACATTAATTCTAAACGAGCCTCTACACAACGCTACCATTTTCTTTTCTGGGTCTCTGACCACCACCCCCCTCCCCCCTTTAGGCCTGTAGCGCCCACAAGGGGCCGTTATCGCCCACTTTGGGAAAGGCTGCTATAAAATAAACAAACAAATTTATTTTCATATTCAAACTGTTATAAAAACTTCATTAAGCTATTGTACTGTCTCTTTCTTATATGCTACATTCCCAATTTGAAAGAAAGTAACAAAAGAGTTTGAACTTTTTTTAGCTATTGATAGCTAAAATAGATTTGTAATAGGTTTTAGTTTTTATGAATAAATAGGTATAGACCGGCGGGGCACCAATGAGGGATGATAGGTGATGATGAAAGCAGGTCAGTTAGTCCACCGTGACGAATCTAACAATAAATCAATCACGATGGTTTCCAGGGGGAACCACGAAGTGGTCGACCTGACAGGGATATGGCAAGCAATAAATTACTAATCCTCATTATTAACAATGCCTTCTCCCCTTAGTACTTAAAATAGGTTTGTAGAACGCTTTAGCTGTTATGTATAAGGGGGTACAGTATTGTTTAAAGTCCCGGAATTCTTGTAACTTAATTTCTAAAGGTCAGTTATTGCGAGCCGAAACGAAAAATAGTTTTCCAAAAAGTCGTACGATAAAACGAGTTTAAAGAATACTTAAAAAATGTGGATAAATAAATAAGTAACTATTTCTCCTATAATACGAGTATGTTTCTAATATATTGACCACAATGTACCAGCGTCTTACTTTATTTAATTAGGACACATTTTCTTTACAAATGAAATTAAAAAAGTGACGAAATTGGAAAGAGAATAGAAATCGTCATAGACGAATGAAGAATGAGACGAACAATGAAGGTAATATACGCGTGGTAATTATATAATTTACCAGAGGGAGACTTTGTACAAAAGTCGAGTGCTTGGCTACCTCTGTCCCATTCGTTTTTCTATCGTGAAGCAGTTGTGTTTGCATAGCTGTGTTTCGGTTTGAAGGGTGGGATATGGCAGTGAATTTACAGGGTACAGAGGAATAACACCTGAATCCTCAGGAATGGCAACGCATGAGGGGTATCATGGGCGAAACAGTATACTCTGTTATGTCCATGGTACTGCTCGTGTCTATAGGCGACGGTTACCACTTTCCATCAGGTGGGCCGTCAGCTTGTTTGCCATTCTAAGTTGTATAAAAAAAAAATATATAACAGTGGTATTTACTAGATACGAAAGTAAAACACCTTAGTCCACAGAATGGCGTATTCTATGATATCTATGGTGCAGTTATGGTCTATAGGCGACGGTTACCGCTTTGCATGTAGTCGGCCGTCAGCTTGTTTGTCATTACGAATTATTAAAAAAAAACTGGTTGCATTGTGTGTCCAGAGCGGAGTAGGCCCCGCGGGAAGCAAGCAGTCGCCGGGCGGCCCCCCGCCTGCCGCGCCGCCCCGCGCCGCCAGCCCGCTAGCGCTCGGTCAGTCACGCGCTTTATTTTTAAGTCTACTTTTAATTCAGTGCAGTAGAACGACTGTTCGAGTTGTTATTTCACAAAATAATATTGCTACATTGGCTGTACGGGCACCGGTCCCTTTGCTTTTCTTTTTTGGAATAAATGGAAATATTTCTATATTTATTCTAATTGTAACTTTAACGACTTTGGTGGTTTTGGGAACATATAAGTTTTTAAAAATGGCCACAAGTGAGGGTTGCCATCTAACAAGTCCTAGCTGCGACTAACTGAGAGCAGGCAATCTGGGTGCATTTTTTTTCTGATTTTTTTTTACCTGCTGAAATCAGTAACGGCATCATATATATGTATATGACATTAAAATCAATCATGATTTGATCAGTTGATTTTTCAATAAAATCATTGAGTTGGATATTTTCTTTCATACAACTTTTGAATGTCCAAAATTGAAAAAACAATGATTTTACTGCATCAAATTAATAATCTAAATATACAATATTACGTTCATTTTTGACATAGATTTCATCTATTTCGGTTTAGACCCTCTTTCCGAGAACGCAGTCTTTATCCATTGAATTTTGTTATTTTTTTTTATAAATTTTAAGTAGTTGTATTCGTAATTATATGCGCGTGATCAGGATAACAATATCCTATATCCTCTATTAGAAGTACTACATACATGCCAAATCTCATGACATTTGGTTCAGCCATCAACGCGTCAAGGAGTAACAAACATTTTTCGACATTTATAGGACACTAAAGGGCATTGTTTTCATTCATTGGATGCTTTTGTATTATAACGTAGAAATTGTATGAAGACATATTTAATTTTTCGATGATATTGTTGACGTAGTTGGGAAAAATCATTATTGTGATTTGTCAAGACAATTCCATGTTAAATGTTTACCCATCGCATTGTTTCGCTTCTATATGTGGCTAAAGTCAAACTGTATGTCCATTTGTGAATGTTCTTTCCATTTTTATTGTCTTACTAGCGATCCGACCCGGCTTCGCGCGAGTTGACAGTATTTTCGAAAATCAATACATATGATAAAAGTTTCAGCCAATTCAACTAATCGGTTATTTTATAGCATTTTATATGTGATTCTTTAGATTGATATAAGTTTTTTATATATGAACCGATTAAAATAAAACAAATACTAAGTGTTAAATGGAGTAAACTGCGACGTACTACTGAAAACCGCATTCAAATCTGTTAAACGCACAAACGTACAGACAAACAGACAAAAATTCTACAAATCATTGTTTTGGGTAATAAAACCCATTAAGCGTTCGTAAAGCCCCCTTATAATAGTTTTTCTCATATATCTTCAATGTACAGACGGTGACCAGTTACGATTTTATTATATATATTGATTTCTCTAGTCATATTACAATAGTATCTTTTACAGATAATTAAATGTTTGTTCTCCAAGTCGTAAAACTGAGAATGACTGAGAATAAGGTACTAAGTACAGTTTTGAAATAATTTTTGAATACATTTACATTTCAGGGCAATCGTTAACGTATCAATGGAGTCCGCAGTCACAGCAACAACAAAGCACACCCAGATCTGAAAAGGTACCGTTTTATGTTTAATTTTATTTATTTATTTATTTATACTTTTGCACACATTAGAAAATGTCTACAGGGCGGACTTAATGCCTGATGGCATTCTTTACCAGTTACGCTAAACAGAGAGTAAATGGCGGTGTATAGATATGGGTGGACATTATACAATTTTGGAATGAAGACAGTCCTCCCCCCCTCCCCCCTCGCCTCCTGAAATATATCTATGAATAGTAATAGCAGCTGGCATTAGCTTATTGAGGATAATTTTCTACACGTACTCCCAGAGGAGTCTTTGTGCATAGTTTAAAGCTCTGCTCGGATCTTAGGGAGGGTACCAGACAATTCTGGGGTGTGCACGGCCCACCTCATCATCATCATCATCAGTTTAGCCGTTAACTGTTCACTGTTGAACTTGAAGCCTTGCCAGTAGTCGCCACGCTTGGCAGGCAGATCGGCAACCTCAGTTAGGCTTTGGTAATGTTTTAAGAGGGACGCTGCTGCCCATCCTTCGACCATTGAGTCGCCCGTTTCCCGTATTAAATGCGCCTATTTTGTCTGGATGTAAATAGTAAGTAAATGTTCTTCTTTATTTTACAGTCAAAAGAGAAATCAAAAGCTGAAAAATCATCTATATCAACCGGTGTTAGTCTGATGAAGCGGTTGGCAGCCATGAAAAAGTGTAAATCTCCGCCGCCAGTTGGCTACAGCATGGACAATCCTGTCTTCGAGGACGGGCCGGGCACATCGCTCATGCTGAACCTAGCTGCCCAGCATCATCCTGTACATGTCAGGTAGGATTTCTGAATTTTTTTATGGGAGAACGGCAAATATGCTGACAGCCACCTGATGGAAAATGGTAACTGTCGCCTATAGACATGAACAGCACCATAGACAGTACAGAATACATTCTGATCCTCATGGGACCCAGGGCTGGATTGTCCATTAGGCGGTGTAGGCCTAGGGTCCCTATCGGGTAGGGATCCCGCGCTCTAACTCAGGTCCGTTGGTCCATCGTGATGAATTTGTGAAATTCGTTTCGTGAAATTGGTTTCCAGGGTATATTGTTAGCAATGAGATTGCTAATCCCCATTACTAACAATCCCTTCTCCGTGGGTATGCGTTCACGCCCTTATGCGCTGCCATTCCTGAAACCTAATGTGCAATTATGTTATATTTTATTTACAATATTGTTAATAAATTGTTACTTTTTTATATAATATAAGATAGGGATGGACCAAAATATAGCAATATCTATATATTTTGGTTGCAATATCTATATACTGGTACAATAACGAATATGTTAAAAGTCTGTTATCCCAAACATAATATTGGATAACAGAATTTTAAACTATTCGGAAATAGATATCAGACCGATATTTTTTTTTTATACAACCTAGAATGGCAAACGAGCTGACGGCCCACCTGATGGAAAGTGGTAACCGTCGCCTATAGACATGAGCAGTACCATGGACATAACAGAGTATACTGTTTCGCCCATGATACCCCCCATGCGTTGCCATCCCTGAGAACTCAGGTGTTATTCCTCTGTATCCTGTAAATTACCATTTTTCCGCTATCAATATTTAAAGGAACCCAATATATAGATATCGGATCGGTATCCATATTGCTCATACCGATACTAAGACTATTATACAACAAGCATTTGTGGATTTTGGATTTGGATGCGACAAGTCTTGTGAATTGTATGTCCATAATGTGTTTGCAACTACATCTGTGGGTATGCGCATGTGTTTTTGTGTTTAACATGTTTACATAAGCGTTATATCAGGCAATAAGTATTTTTTATTATCTTACTAGCGATCCGACCCGGCTTCGCACGAGTAAACAGAATTTTCGAAAATCAATACATATAATAAAAAAAAAAAGTTTCAGCCAATTCAACTGATCGATTATTTTATAGTATTTTTATATGTGATTATTTAGATTGATATAACTTTTTTATTTACGACTCGATTGAAATAAAACAAACCGCAAAAATTTAATTCAAATTGGTCAAGCCGTTTCTGAGATTAGCGTGCACAAATGTACAGAAAAACAAAAATTTTAAAAATCATTGTTTTGGACTCTATTGCGTTCATAAAAATCCTCTAAAATAGTTTTTCTTATATATCCTCCATGTACAGACAGCTGATCAGTTACGATTTTATTATATGTATTGATATTGTTTAGAAAAATAATGTTTATTCGAATCTAGTATATTCTCTCGTGTTTTTATAATAAAAATTTAATGACTAATTAACTGTTTCACATAAAGTCTTGAATCTATTTGTACACAAAAGGTTATAGTACACATTTTCATTTAGTTTTATTTCCCTGATATAACGCTCATAAGGTTAACAGCACTCATCACCACGTTTGCGTTTGTGTGTCGCTCACTTGTCAATGTACTAAATGGTTTGTCGACAAGTCAACTTTATAGTCGGACAACGCTTGACTGCGGTTTGATGATTTAAACTTACAATCTAAGTGTAAACCTCTGATTTTTAAAAATATATATTTAAGTAATTTAACCGTCCGCCAACCGTATAGGGCAATATCGTCCGCGCCAAGTTTGGACCTGATGCATATCTTTGTAAGAAAAAAAGGACGGAGCCTCGAACCCCTCTGTAAAAAAAAAAAACTTAGACACGCACGTACCTCACAGACAAGGTCATGAAAGGCGCTTATATGAAGAATAAATCTCCAAAACATTTCTTCTTAATACGAATTTATATCCAAGATATCGATTTTTTTTTGTGAAATCTTAGAAATTACGGTTTTTGAAGAGATTACAAAATTTTATTTCACCAAGGCGGGTAAAGTATTCAAGTCAAAAACTATGGAAACAGAAAAAAGAAATCTAGAACATATTCCCTGAATTTTTTTTGGAAATTTTCCCTACCTTTAAGTAGGTCAAATTATCGTCTGGGAGAATATCGTCCGTGACGGTTGACGGTCTGCAAAAAAAAACACACGGTTGGCGGTGGGTTAATAATGATCATCATTTGCTTGAGTACACGCAAAGCCGTTGTCCGGTATATGACAGAGGTGTTCGTTCACACCGAAGGCGATCTCGTAGACACCAGAGGGCGCAGTCCTCGCGCGTGTAGTAATAGTAGTACAAGAGTAGACTTGTCGATGGTGACCCGCTGGTGGTGGCGCAGGTCGGGCTCGTGCCCGTCTCAGCTGCTGCGGGCACTACCGGCCAGCGAGCGCATACGGCACAAGGAGCGGCCCGCGATACCCGCCGCCCTGCACGACCACCACCACCACCTGCGGTGAGTTCACGTATCACTACCACCATCACCGTCACATTACCACACGCATGAATATCACCCTCACCACCACCAACGACCTGTAATTAGTTCACCAGTACCACCTACAGTAACAACATTCTCCACCGCTCCCGGCTACGATTAGTATTTTTTCCACCACCTATGACGAATCCACCTTTCATTATTACCAACTGGAGTGAGTCCATCCTTTCTGCTATGTACCTACAGTTAGTATCTCCTTCACCTTCACTATTTCTACCTGCATAACTCCACCTACTAATCCTATGACTCCACTTTCCAGCATTAATACCCACGCTGAGGTCAAATGGAGCTACAGTGACAACATTCTTTACCGTCCATGGCTACGGTTTTTTTTTTATGGCTGACGATGGTAAGATAACCCCGCCTGCGCCATCGGTACTTACTTACTGGTTCACAACCACTGTTCCCTCTGAACTATGACTACGGGTAGTCATTCTTCCACCATCTATGATGAATCCGCCTTCTATTCTTATCACCTATGGTGAGACAGACTCATCGGATGGATCACTTAGAAGGAACGGCTCTGGTCTTATGTTCCTGCAGTTAGTATATCCTTCATCTTCACTATTTTTACTTGCTAAACTTGCACCCACTATCCCCACGACTCCACTTTTCACCATTCATACCCATGGTGAGCCCAACTGCAGCACTGAATTTTTCTATGAGTCCACCTCCGTAATTTACAGCAAGTCTATCCACCACCCTCTTAGCCTTCGATAGTTCTAACCGTCGGTGTTTACTGCCATCCTCCATCATCTACTTTGAGACCACATACCTTTTGTTACTGCTAATTCTTAGTAGAGGCCCAAATCACACTCTTGTCACCTTCTCTGTTCTTGCTAGAACGTTTAACAAAAACACAAAACAAGATCGTTCCACGTGCAATCTCCGGTAAGTAATTATTCTAAATACTTTTGAATATTATTTTAATACTGATCAGTGGCTTAGCTTGGTAACCAAAGGCCCTGGGGCAATAAATAAATCAGCCTAAGAATGCAGGGAGTTCCCCGCAAGTTTCAAACAAAGATGTTCGAGACTTGTTGGGAATTCCCCTGTATCTGGCTAATTTATATTCAGAATGTGGAAATATTCACTAGTTCAATTTATAGTTCCTAAGTCAGAGTCCGAGGAGCCCCCTGAGCTTAGGGGCCCCAAAGCACTGTCTCGTCTAACCCTCCGGTAGCTACGCCACTGATACTGAGAATACCTGGTAATGATCTTCATGCTGTTATGAGGGTAGGCAGATAGAACCAAAGCAAAGACCTCATTCCTAACACCTCTAGTTTATTTTTCATAACTCATCTCATGCATGTAAATTTCATAGAAGCTTGTTGACTATTGCCGTTTTGATGATAACATTGCTTACATTTTGCCAAGCATATTAAACTCCAAGATGACAGGGGGTAATTAAATAACTGTCTTTAAAATAAATATATGGTATATAATCGCTATTATTTTAACCCTTACTACTCCAAGCCTTTTTTTTATTCCACCAGCTCCACGCTAAAATTGCGTTTTTTAACTTTTAGGGGTTTTATTAATTTCGAAGACAAGATAGACTTAAAGAATATCGAAGTTTTTATGTAGTTTTTTAACATTGTTATATTATTACGTCTAAATCGCCTGTGCTTTTGTCATTCTGTACGATTCTTTGGCATTATATTCCATTATATTTAAGAGATTCTTTGGCATGCTGCTTCCCTTACATAAGAGATTCTTTGGTACACTGCTTCCATTATATAAGAGATTCTTTGGTACGCTTCTTACATTATATTTAAGAGATTCTTTGGCACGCTTCTTCCATTATATTTAAGAGATTCTTTAGCACGCTGCTTCCATTACATAAGAGATTCTTTGATACACTGCTTTCATTATATAAGAGATTCTTTGGTACGCTGCTTACATTATATTTAAGAGATTCTTTGGCACGCTTCTTCCATTATATTTAAGAGTTTCTTTGGCACGCTGCTTCCATTATATTTAAGAGATTCTTTGGCACGCTTCTTCCATTATATTTAAGAGATTCTTTAGCACGCTGCTTCCATTACATAAGAGATTCTTTGATACACTGCTTTCATTATATAAGAGATTCTTTGGTACGCTGCTTACATTATATTTAAGAGATTCTTTGGCACGCTTCTTCCATTATATTTAAGAGTTTCTTTGGCACGCTGCTTCCATTATATTTAAGAGATTCTTTGGCACGCTTCTTCCATTATATTTAAGAGATTCTTTAGCACGCTGCTTCCATTACATAAGAGATTCTTTGATACACTGCTTTCATTATATAAAAGATTCTTTGGTACGCTGCTTACATTATATTTAAGAGATTCTTTGGCACGCTTCTTCCATTATATTTAAGAGTTTCTTTGGCACGCTGCTTCCATTATATTTAAGAGATTCTTTGCCACGCTGCTTCCATTATATTTAAGAGATTCTTAAGCACGATGCTTCCATTATAACATGTTTTTGTCTATTACGAACTACACTATGGGGTTCTTTAAAAAGTGCGTGTTAAGGTTCCTTCAGGGTCTGCAACGCCTACGCACGCACACTTTTGATTTTTTAGTGGTCCATAGACTACAAAAACATTTCATCATCAGATGAGCTGTATCTTTGTTTGACACTTTTGTTGTATAAAAAAAAAATCTCTCCTATAGGTGAAATTGGTTGACATCTAATGCGTCAGATTATACTTACCTATTTTTTTTTACTTATTCAAATTTAAATCATATTTATTCAAATAGACTTCTTTACAAGCACTTTTAAATCGTCATTTTTTTTTTATTTACTGCATGGTTCGGGAATTGTTATTTGTTGAGAAAAAGACAAGAAGCCCGCAAGAAACTCAACAGTTACTCTTTTAAATCTCTTGTTAACATTATGTGTATTTATTTAAATGTACTATATTTAAAATTACGTGGTCTTTAAAAGCCTGTGCATGATAAACTATTATCAGCTAATGGACATGTGCTATGTAATGTTTTTGTAAATTCTATCCACCAATGCTAAGTTGGATCAGATTACTAGTTTTCTATATGGCTGTATACCATTAATTACTGATTGAAGTTGTCTACAAAATAACTTGTCATCATTACAGAAATACAAACTGCATGCACGGTACTGCCTGCAGTTTACAATAGTATCTTCATAGTATAGTATAGTACAGTACAGTGCATTACAGTACAGTACAGTATAGTATATTAAAGTACGGTACAGTATAATACAGTACAGTATAGTATCATATATGCCAAACATTGCATCGTACATTATGGTAATCAATCTGTGCTTGCATGTTGCAGCGGAAGCGAGGGCCCGTGGCAGTCGCAGCATCGCAAATCGCAATCTCTCGACGTGACGGCCGCGCGGCGGGATCGCGAACGTGACCGCGATCGTCACCACTCCCAGCTGGTGAAAGAGAGGTGATCACGAGTTTATTTCATCATCATATTTTTACACAATGTTTCTTTTTGTCATATTGTTCTTCTATGTAATATTTTTGCGATAAGTACAAATAATTTGATTAATGGATGATAATGGAATGGCAACGCCGCCTGCGCTAACCCTTTCAATTCATACCTGCTTTAATCCCTTCCCCTACCACACCAATTGTCGTGTGGTCCTGGCATAAAATGGGCAAGAATTGCCAACCCGCCTGCCTAACGTGGCAACTATTGGCAAGATCTCTTCTTTATAGGGCAGGCCTATATTCAGTAGTGGTCAGTTGACGGCTGATATGATGACGTTAAGTGCTATTTTTGTAGGTTTTTTTTTTTTATTAAAATTTATTATATAAACCTCGTTTACAGATTTCGCTGTATCGTCCCCTACCCACCGAACTCGGAGTACGAACTCGAATTGAAAGTGGACGATATCGTGATAGTGTCGAAGAAGCGAGGCGACGGTTGGTACAAGGGCACGTTGCAGAGGACGGGCCGGACTGGCCTATTCCCGGCCTCTTTCGTTCAGAGTTGCCCGCAGGAATGACAACGGCCCACCCCATCCAGGTTTGGGACTTTGTTCTAGCGTCGGTCAGTGATTCTAAATATACAGGTGATGATCAAGCGATAGTTATACGCTCAATTTTTCTTACACCAATTACGTTACTTAGATGACCTTTGCGACACTTAGATGACCTTTAGACCATTAGATGACCTTTGTGCCATTTATGTCATTTAGATGACCTTTGAGTAAGTTAGATGGTCTTCAGATCATTTCCTCGTGATTTGTTTAATGGCACAGTGTATTCATACGCCCGGGATGTATTTCTCTGTCTTGTTGTGTTCATCAGTGGTCCAACGCTTTTGGCATGTTCTGAATGATTATATGACCTTCCGGGACGCATTACTAGACATGTTCATTGGATTTCTATTTAGAAGATCGCGTACATTAATTATTCCTGCTAATATTTTAAATGAAAAAGTTTATGAAGACATTTGGATGTGTGTTTCTCGATTAAGCTTAAACGCTTGAATGGATTTGAATGAAATGATCACAGATGGACAACGTCCCAGATTAGTACTCGAAAATATATTTTTTTAATTCACGTGGGCAAAGCCGCAGAATGCAGTTAGTAATTTATATATTTTGATAATAAATGTAAGAATATCAAATTTCAAAATATAGTTTTGCGTTAAAAAATTACATTATTAACATTGTAGATATAACATATACAAAAAATCGGGCGTGGTACAAATACTGCTATAAATTTTGAGCGTGTAACCTTTGCTTTTGTCATTAAACAGGTGTTTGTGACTTGCGAAGTTGATTCCAAGTTGACATGGAAAAAAAAACTTTTAAAAATGAACTATTCGTCGTTTTATCACAATTTTGTAATATAGATGTGAGCGCGCGAGATAAATAATAGTGATTCATGTGCCGCCATTGAATTTATTTTAGTTTTAAATGTTTAAACCGTTTTACGTTTAGACATGGCATATAGTATAAAGTATAGCATGCAGCGTTGTTTGTTGATCTTAGTTTGTTTATTTACTATGCATATTTGTTAAGAATACTATCACTGCATGCTGGCAATGTAGGGAATATTTCTCAAATTTCATAATTAACTGAAACTATTTTAAATATAAAATGTAATTTAAAAGGTTAATCCATAGCACGTTTTGTAATTGTAACGGAAACAGGATTTAAAGCAATGTAAACCGCAACGAAAGTTATAAAAAATATTCGAGTTATCTAATAATTGTAGCGTTTCTTTTTTAGTAATGTAATGACTATTATAACAAACCATGTTTTATTTAAAACGAATTTAGTAAGTTGATCCCATTTGTCAAATGTGAACACTTGATAATTTTAACGATAACAGAATTTAAAGTTATGTAAACCGTAACGGAAATTAGAAAATTATCCCAGATAACTAGTTACTGTAGCATTTTGTGTAGAAATGAAATGAGCATAGTGTCTGTATAGCACACTCGACTTTTAAAAGAAACATTTGCGAGTAGATGTATTGCATTATTTTATCTGTGAATCTCTCTATGAATTTTATTAAACTTTGATCAGCATAATAAAATTCAGATCAGTGATTCAAGTTAGATCAAAGTGAATATGTAGTTTTCTATTTTTAACACACAAAAATGAAATATGCTAATTTTCAATTACACAAACGGTTTAGAACAAATATTTTGCTAGGGTTACTGACAATTTTTGTTGTAAAATAAAAAAAAAAAACAATTGTAATGAAATACATGAGAATTTCAATGGTGGAGTCATTTAATGTTTATAATTAAAAATTTTAATAAAAAACTCACAATTTAGATACAATTGAAAAACAAGTGTGATGTGTTTATATAATTTAGGTGATATTCTAATCAAAATAATCGTATAAAATATCTTAACTACGACTGAACTGCCACCGTTATTAAATACTTAGAGAGGAAAGTTCGTAATGTTATTTTAAAGTACACAAAGTGAGGGCCAATCATGGGGACAGAATTATAGGTATTTTTATAGTATTAACAAAATAATGCTCATTGACGAAACGGTGTCTAACGTCTATATTGTATCTCCTAATATTTATTAAATACTAAACGTTACATTAGTCTGTATTTGTAATGTATTTTTAACTTAAACAAAGCTTTATTATTGTCTCAAAATTAAACTAATACAATGTTTTACTTTAGTTAGATAATATTCTACAGGTCTACAGGCCCTAAAAACATGACGCGTGTATGATTTTTATGTGAAACCATAATAGTATGGCATTAAAGTTGAAATTTTATTGATATTGGTTGTTACTAAAAAAAACTATTTTCCAACTACTGTCATTTTGTTCTTTGTATTTTTACATAAAAATCATATACAGTGACGTCGGAAAGTGTCGGCCCTAAATGAAATTATATGAAACAAACTGCCAAATGTGTTGACTATATTATTCACTGGATTTTTATTAATATAGTAACTATAAGAAATTTGGGGTTCTTGTTTTGTGTTTTGTATGCTTCTTTAACGGCTGTAGATTTAATATATAACAATGCAAACCTCCCACTATTAGAAAATTATTTAGGAATAATATAACAGAAACTATATTTTCTAAACAAGTTAGCGGATTTTTATTGTAATGACTAGTTCGGTAGGTTCGTCTCGTACACATTGACTAGCAGTATTTGTCGTCATTTATTCATATTTCCACCTCTATTCTAAAAATACGACATTTACTAATGTCACGTGATCTACGTGTATATAAATTAGGAGTCAATACTGATGGGGGGAGGCTTGCAATATCTATTTTTACTTTGATCACAATGTCTTAAATAATAATATTAAATTATTCGGTTGTTCATTCTCATTGTGATGAGACAAATACGCTTATTATGTTTAATTGTGTTTAATTTTTAAGCCACTGCCATATATAATTATTATTTTGTTAAATATACTTACATACATACATTTGATTTAGTTTCGTTAACGTAACTACCATACACACAATGATATACATTAATACAATCAATTCAATAATCAAATGGATTTAGGTTAGAGAAATATTTAGATATTCAAGTAAATTAGTTAAGTTCATATTTATAAACTATTCTATTTATGTATGTATAATGATAATAAATTATATAAACTGAAATTTTAACTTTTTAAATAAAATTTTTGGAATTCAATAGCAAAAAAATTTAATATCTAATGGAAATTAAGACTGTATTATAAATAATTTCGTTTTATACACAATAAGATTTATTTAATTATATATTGGGGGTTTAATGTTAGCAGTAATATGATATAGTTATTTTAGCTAAATATGTAATCGTTGTTAGGTAGTTTTCTAACGTAAGATATAATAAGTTTGATATAAATAGAATGTTCAGTTCATATTAGTCTTGCGTATATCTGATGCACTATTAAACTGAACCATTTCTTATATTGTATAATAGTAAATTTTTATGTATAAATGTTTGAATACACGTTTTTATAGATATTAACTTTGTTAATGGTCAATATGATCAGGTCAATAGATACATTTTACACATTTAGTAAAATAATGAACTTATTCAAAATTGCCAATAAGAGTTTTTTTTTTTGTTTAATTCCCAAGTAAAAAAATCAATTGTCTCAGCCTAGTTTAGAAAAACAAAAATACCATTTTTTAGGACATTGCATTGTTTATGTAAAACTTAATATTTTACTAAAGGTGCTATTTTTTGTACACATCTTTAAATACGCAATCGGTTTTTGCGTTCTCTTACATGAATATGTAAGACTGCAAGCATTATATTTTAATATATAAATAGAAAATGATAATTCTTATTAAGTTTGCATCAAATGTACGCAATAACGATTCTACAAAAGTCCTTTGTACATTGTAACGATAATTTTTAAGTCCTTTTTTTTTGTTTATACGAAATATACATATATCTAATGTACTCTCTAACATTTGTATTACAATAATAATTTATAACCAACAAAATTCAATTCAAAATTGTATCGACTGATTTGTTTAGCTTATTTATTTCTTACTTATTTTTTTAGTGTAACAAACAACGAAATGTTTCGTTTAACGAAAAATCGAGTCTTTGTCTTGACCGTTTTCCAACGTATAAAATATTAAAGAGTTGTTGATTGGTCATTAATTGTAATTTCTAGAAGCTTCTGTGTTAACCCTTAAATACCTGAAGTTTCAAAATTGATACCGGTGTTTGCATTGTTTCATTGTTAAATAAATTTAAATATTTTGATTACCGCAATGCCTAAAGTATCAAATATGATACCAAATGTTTTTTTTTAATAAATATATAAAAATATCGTTATGATTTTTTTACTATTTTTCCTCATTAGTAAATACAGTAAAGGGTACACTTATATATTTTTTTATTTGATTAAAAAAATCAGGCTTTTAAGGGTTAAGTCAATTGAGATATTTACATCAACATCTGCTACTGTATTGGATTCTAAAGAAAAATTCTTCTGTCAACGCTTGACCACATTAGTGGACCAGAGAGTCCCTGTTATTTAAAAAAAAATGTGTAAATAGAAATTTTGTTAGAAAAATTGGTCACACAAAAGCATCGCAAATATTTTATTACAAATTGTGAATAGTGGTTGGAAAACGGAGCATTTATTTTGTGTAACAATGTTGTATGTACTTCATGGGAATCATATCGACCATTGAATTAGGTAATTTCGAAGAAAAATAAAAAAGTCTTTGAAATACAATGTTTTATTTTATCTACCTTAGATATCTGTCTATAGATTATTTTCCTTTAATTTGTTTAGTAAGTATAGAAGCAACAAAATGAAGTTTTATTTATACAGAGTATACTGCCGTGTGGTCCCGGCATAGAATGGACCACCATTTCTTTCCATGGTTGTCGTAAGAGTCGACTTAGGGAACTTAATGATTGAGGGATAGGTAGCAACGTCCCTCTTAAAACATTAAAGCCTAATCGCGGTTGCCAACCCGCCTACTAAGCGTGGCAACTATGCAACAGTGGACTGCTAACTGGTGATATTTGTATATGATATATACAAAGTGAAATCTAAGTCGTCAACGATACTTAAATATTCACGCCATAGAATATATTAAGACAGGAATTTTCTAAACCGAAAATGCAAGAATGTCAAAAAAATATACTATTTACCATACCAACTTCACAGCTAAACGCGCCGTCTATAATTTTTTTTATACAGCTTTAATACAATTTAGACAAACAATCTGACGGCCCATCCGATGGAAAGTGGTAACCGTCGTCTATAGGGGGGAAAGGGATTGTTAGTAATGGAGACTGAGAATCCCATTGCTAGCAATATACCCAACCAGGTCGACCTCCTCGCGGTTCTCCCTGGAAACTATCATGGTCAATTCCTGATGAATTCATCATGATGGGCTAACTGGCCTGTTTTCATTCTCATCTATTACCCTTCACTGGTGCTCCGCCAGCGTATCCCGTTAGCGCAGGCGGGGTTACCACTCCATTTTCATCCAATAAAAAAAGAGAGTCCAATTTACATTTACCATGGACATAACAGAGTACACTGTTTCGCCCATGATACCTTCCATGCGTTGCCATTTCTGAGGCCTCGGGTATTATTCCTCGGTACCCTGTAAATTCATTGCCGTATCTCACCCTTCAAACCGAAACACAGCCATACAAACACAACTGCTTTACGGTAGAATTTTCGATAATAGTTTTTTGTTAAAAATATAATATTTAGTTAAAAAATTTTGTTGGCATTGTTAATGCAATGCAAACGTAATGTATTAAAAATTTGCACGCCGACATAGAGGCAGAATGTACACGGGAAATATAAACCTTTATCATCTAAAATTACCTGCATTCTAGCAAAATAAATTAATTTCATTTCATAAAAATAATTAGCGGGTAATTTAGTGCTGGAAAGGTACAGGTAAAAACTTTTACAAGGTAAATACAATATAAAAAATATATACACAAATTGTATTATTATAATAATAATATAATTCAATTTCGATGGTAGAACGCTCCCTTAAAAGGACTCTAACAATTTCTATTTCACTTTGGGTATAGGTCTGAAATGATCACTGCTTGTCAAGCGTGGTAGTTACTGGCAAATGCAGTCTGAGGGAGGCTATATTCAGCAATGGACAATTAATGTCTTATAATTTAATCATATTTAACATGATAATACAAGCAGTATGAAAAATTCGCAAACAAATTGAAATCCTCGATAGTATAGTGGTCAGTATCCCCGCCTGTCACGCGGGAGACCGGGGTTCAATTCCCCGTCGGGGAGGTTAACTTTTTGCCGATCAAAATACTTTTTTTAATCACATTTTTATATTAATTAGTCGCATAATTGAATTTTTTTATACAACTTAGAATGCCAAACAAGCTGACGGCCCACCTGATGGAAAGTGGTAACCGTCGCCTATAGACATGAGCAGTACCATGGATATAACAGAGTATACTGTTTCGCCCATGATACCCCCCATGCATTGCCATTCCTGAGGACTCAGGTGTTATTCCTCTGTACCCTGTAAATTCACGCCATATCCCACCCTTCAAACCGAAACACAGCCATACAAACACAACTGCTTCACGGTTGAAACAAGAACTAACCACGCATGGTTGGGGGGAAGTTAGCAATCCCATTGCTAGAAGTATACCCTGTCAGGTCGACGTCTATGCGATTGCCCCTGGAAACCATCGTGGTTAATTTTTTTTTATATAGACTTCCACGAAGGGCCAACTGACTTGCTTTTATTTTCACCTGTCATCCCTCACAGGTGCCTCGCCAGCGTATACCAATAGCGGTTACCATTATATTACTATCCATTAAAAAAATACAAGGATGTTTTTAAGGGAGAACCACATGGAGGTCGAACTGAAACGGTATATTTCTAGTAATAGGGCATTTAAATCACCATTACTAACAATCCCTTCCCCCTCAAAGATATATTTTTTTTAATGGGTGAATATGGAATGGTAACCTCGCCTGCACTAACGGGATACGCTGGCGGAGCACCAGTGAAGGGTGATAGATGAGAATGAAAACAGGCCAGTTAGCCCATCATAATGAATTCATCAGGAATTAACTATGATAGATGCCAGGGGGAACCGCGGGGAGGTCAAGCTGGTTGGGTATATTGCTAGCAATGGGATTCTCAGTCTCCATCACTAACATCTTTCTCATAAATGAGTTTGTTTGTTTATTCTTAACGCCTTAACTGTTCAACTAATTATAACGTAACGGTTTACATTTCTCTTTTTTTTGATGGATGATAAAGAAATGGCCGTGTAGTAGATGTATAGTCCCGGTTACCGTGGATGTCGTAAGAGACGACTAAGGGAATTTAGTGAACGATAGATGGGCAGCAACGTACTTCTTAAAAATATAAATGCGGTTACCAACTCGCCTGCCAAACGTGGCGCCTACTGACAAAACCCCCCAAGGGGAAGGTCTATTCAGCAGTAAACAGTTACCAGCTGAAACGATAACGGAATTGTAACCCCGCCTGCACTATTGGTTGGAAAAGGTTGATAGGTGAGGATGGAATCAGATCAGTTGATTTATTTTGACGAATTCAACAATAAAACACGATGGTTGGGATGAACCGCGTGGAAGTCGACCTGACTATTATGTATTTTTAAAGGGTGACGATTGAATGGTTATCTCGCTTGCACTATCGGTATACGATAGCGGGGCACTAGTAATCTTAAAAAAAAAATTATTTCTTAAATCTTAACAATTTTTATTCCATTAAAATACTGACACCAAGAAACAGTCTCACGAATACACGAATAATTGTTTATATTTACTATGCGCAAATGGAACCCACAATCATCGGAGCCTTTACTCTATTAAGGCCATGAAAACTATTTCATTTCCAATACCTACTTACCTAGATTATGATAGAATGGTGATTTTCTTTATAATACCTGTTTGTTTTGTCAGAAACGTGCCGCATGACGTCAGTTTCCACACGGATGGTCAACACGTGGGTCTTGGTGGTTATTTAGGGCCGTCCATTGGACAGGACAATCACAGCGTGAGCTATTTGTTTGCTGTTGACAGTAAGGGTGGGTAATATAATATATAGCAATATATTGGGCCAATAACAAATATATTAACAATAAGCTTTTTTGTGGATGATATGATTTCAGAGATGTTTCCTCCCACGAACACTCAAGTTATGGAATGAGCTCCCTGCCGAGGTTTTCCCAAGATACTACAGCATGGAGTTCTTCAAAAAGGGTGTAAAGAGGTTTCTTCAGGGTCGGCAACGCGCGCGTAATACCTCTGGTATTGCAGGCGTTCATAGGCTACGATAATCACTTACCATCAGGTGGGCTGTATCAGTGGGCTGGTGCTTGTTTGCCACCTCAGTGGTATAAAAAAAAGATAATGGAATGGTAGCTCCACCTGCGCTAACGGTATACGATGTCGGGGCACCGATAGCGTAGGCAGGGTTACCATTCCATTAACATCCATTACGAACTGTCCACGTATTATGCTAAATCTATGATCTTAAACGATATCTCAAATCCTATTTCCAGGGTATACCTATTGATAGCGTACGCGGGCGGAGTTACCATTTCAAATCCTATACAAACTCATTTCTTTTTTACTTTTTTTAAGACCTTTTTTTTATTTTATTCTTTATTGAGGCTTTAGTATAACTGTATGACTATGCCAGACTCTGTTATGTCCATGGTACTGCTCATGTTTATAGGCGACGGTTACCACTTTCGATCAGGTAAGCCGTCAGCTTGTTTGCCATTCTAAGTTGTATAAAAAAAAAGTCTCATAGGGGATTTTACAGGATTTTATTAAATTTCATGTCAGGTTTGCTTGATAGCTCCGTAACTTGATATGTATGATCTTAGATTTATAATAAACATCGTGACAATGGGAGGTAGGGATTATTAGTAACGAGGAGTTAGTCCTCATCACTAACAAATCCAGGGACTTGTCAGATCGACCTCCAAGCGGTCTCCTTTGAAAATCATCGTGGTTAATTCTTAGTGAAATGACCATGACGGGCTAACTGATATGTCTTCACCCTCATCTATCATCCTTCACTGGTGCCCCGCCAGTGTATCCCGATAGCGCAGGCGGTTATTCTACAATATTTTCACTTCATTATAAAAAAAAGTTCAATGACAAATATTAATGTATATATGAATTATTATTATTAGGCTTAACATAAGTATATATAATATATATATATAATAAGTAACATTATACATATATAACCTCTCAATTTAAATGCAAATTTTATGTGGTGTTAATTTAAATAGCCTGTAAATTGAATACTATAGATCACTGAATCGTTTGTCTAAAAACAGGTACAGAATAATTTAAGATTTTGTTTCAACAAAATGTGCTTTTTCTTCTGAAAAATAACAATTATAAAAAATCTACATACATATATAACGAAACACATTGATAAATTTTAAACTTCGATATGTTTTTTTTGTTTAGTCTTTAACGGTCGCGATATTTCATACACATATTTGATTTTATGAAATTTGAATTTAGAAAGCATAAAATAAGTTTGACCTTCTAAGCAATTAAAAAAAAAACAGTATTTTAAATTTTATAAAAAAAAAGAAATATAAATATATTGATATGTAAAATTAACATTTATTTTAATGTATGGTTTTTTTTTTTATTAAAGTATATGATGTTTTGCTCTAGAAATATCCAAAAGGTTATATTATTGTAGTAATATG